ATTTTTCTTTATATATATTATGATGTTTTTGACATCTTAAAAAGCCTTTCTGGCTGCAGAGAACCTGCCTCTCCTGGGGCTTGTTAATTATGAAAGATAATAAAACACCGCAGCCTGGGGCATGCTTTTCACATACAGATTAACCAGTCCAGTGCCATACCTCCTCCATCTGATCTGTACACCTCAGGAGGGGATATTTCTCTGCCTTAATAATCCAGGACCAGGAGCCAGGCAACCCACACAAATTATTCAAACTAGCCATTTCTAAACTGTTCACCTGCCTTGCCTTGCCTTTCCCAAGAAACTCCCCAAAAGGGCGGTGGCCTAAACTTTCCCTTCCTCCTGTCTTCTGCCACCTGACCACCCTAGTGTCTTTCCTGCGTGGCCCTGAGGGGCCTGCTGTGCCTCCTGTCTCTAGGACCTGTGAGTGTAACACACTTTTTCTTTCTGAGCCTCTCCTCTGTCTCCTCTTGTGACCACATCTGATTGACCATACCAAAAAAGATTACAAAAGAGTCTCTGTGTAAAGTCATGCTTTCTATAGAATCATGATTCTCACCAGTCTTGAGCTTGGGTCTCATTTCCAACTCTTTCTATATACGGACACTTTCCTCCCCACCTACTTATTCTCAAAAAGATACATGGCAAACTGATGACAGTATGTCTCTGGGGTGAGGAAAGAAAGGGCTAGAACTGATTTTCAAAGGAAATTTTAGCTTTACCCGTCAACAATCTAATTTTAGGATTACTTGTCAACAATCTAATTTTTGTAAGATAGATGAGACAAATATTCATAACGATATTAAAATTTACATTTAATTCAAAACCCTAGGTGTTGCCTCTGCTCTAGGTTATCTACTTCCTGGGCCCTAGTATTATGGTGATTTCTGTTTTTCCCAAGTGTTTTCCAGTGTTTCCTGTGTCACTACATATAAGTGTATCCTTAAAATCCTCCCCTCCTCTTCTGCTCCTATTATGAGGTAATACTTTAGTTTATTTCCTTTGGGTCAAGAGTATGTACGAAGACACAAATATTTACTTATTTAACCTTGCTCCAGTAAAGAAATATGTTGAACTTACTTGTTTTTAACTTCCAAGACTGCCCCAGCGTATACAATACTAATTCCATTTCTATATATTTTGCACTTTAGAGCCAAAAAACACTTTTATTTTCCATCTCAATCTCCAAAATAGTTCACTAAGGTAAGCAGAATCTACCTCCCAAACTCCATGCCAGGCTTCCTTGCTGCTTTCACTTCCTTTTCTTATAATATGGTAAACTACTTTTTCCTGATAAGCCACTACCTATAATAGAATTATCTTCGTCACTTTCAACCTCTTATTTCCCTTTTTCCTCATTATTTATAATCTAGGCTGAAATGGATATTTGCAAGAGAAAATAATAGAAAATAAGCCTCCATTATAAGATGGCATAATTTGTATGAAGGGCCTGTTTATTGAAAGGACAATAGATTAAAATAGTATTTTTACAATTTTTAAATATTTTTAAAAACTAAATAGTTGGATTTAGTAGATGAAATATGTCATCTGCTGAAAAGCTAGGGAATGACATCAGTATGTGTGTAGATTTCTGACATCAGAGTGGTAGAAAAGAGCATTTACATTATCTAATTCCTCTGTTTTCTTTCTATCCCTTTCCCCCTGAAATCCATCTGTCATAATAAGTCATAATGTTATCATCAAGACATTTACAAAATAGATACTTGATTTAAAAATGTTGCCTTGATTAAAAACCTTTGCTGGATCACCATTACTTATCAAGTCAAGCCTGAATCCCTTAGCCTGATGGTATAGATTCTTTAAACATGTGTTCCATCCGACCTTTCCAAGTCCATTTGTGCCCTCTGTACCAAAAACTCTGTGTTCTAGTCATACAAAGTTGACAAAGTGACAAACAGTACCTAAACTCATCAGATGCTGCCAATCCTTCATGACTTTGCTCTGCCTGTAACAGCTGACAAAGAATGCCCTGTGGCCACTTCTTTAATTGTTGAACTCTTACTCATCCTTCGGTGTCCAGCTCAAATACTCTTTCTTTCTAAGACCTCTCCAGCCAAAATTAATCCCTAACTCATTAAAAGTAATATAAAATGCTTATATGGACATGAAGACATAGAGAAGGGCACAGAAGAATGCACGTGTTAATACTGAGTATAGTTATTTGAAGTTTTATTTCTTCCAATGACCAAGTAATAATTTTTCCTTTCCCTGAGACCAGGTTTCCTTTTATTGCCCAGGCTGGAGTGCAGTGTTAAAATCATAGCTCACTGTAGCCTCTAACTCCTGGGCTCAAGCAATCCTTCTGCCTCAGCCTCCTGAGTAACTAGGACAACAGGCACATGCCAACATGCCCAGCTATTTTTTTCCCCCACTATGTTGACCAGGCTGGTCTTGAACTCTGACCCTCAAACAATCGTCTCATTTCAGCCTCCCAAAGTGCTAAGATTATAAGCATGAGCCACTGCACTTGGCCAGATAATACTTTTGAATTTTAAAAAATTGAAATGAGCTGAACATGGTGGCTCATTCCTGTAATACCAACATTTTGGGAGGCTGAGGCGGGAAAATCACTTGAGGCCTGGAGTTCAAGACCAGCCTGGCCAACACAGCTAAACTCCCGTCTCTACTAAGAATATAAAAAAATAAAAATAAAATAAAAAAAGAAAAGATAAAAAAGCTGGGTGTGGTGGAATCCCAGCTACTCAGGAGGCTGAGGCATGAGAGTCAGTTGAACCCAGGAGGCGAAGGTTGCAATGAGCCAAGATCTGTCTCAAAAACAAAAAAAATAAAATTAAGATTTAAAAATAAAAGCAATAATGGTTAAATATTTCTATGAATACAGCTATATTGATTCATCTATACTAATTTTTTACAGGAAAGTTCTATGATTTTTAGGCCATTGGATACCTAGATTTTTATTCCTGAGCCTCTAACAACTAAATATGGAATCTTGGAGAAGTCTTAAGTCTCTGAACCTTAGTTAAGATAAAAATGTTAATAAATGAACACTAAAATTCTATGGATTTAATCACATATGTGCTTCAATGAATATATTACCATACTTTGCCAATGTCATTTTTATGATTTCAAAAGTTTTTTAAGGGAGTTAGTTGCATAGTATGTCTTTGCCTATTTCTGGGGCAGGGGTGACCTCAAATATAAAGGCCATGGAAAACAAGACAGATAATTCAAAATATTACCCTTTTCCTATGTTTCCATGGTGGCTTTCAATACACACAACCACACAACGCAATATTTCTTAAGATGCTATAATTTTTTGTTTGTATTTCTGGGTTCCTTCCTTCTTTCCTTCTCCCCTTCCTTTCCCTTCCTCCCTCCTTCCCTTTCCTCCCTCTCCCTATCTCTCTCTCTCTCTCTCTCTCTCTCTTTCTCTCTCTCTCTCTCTCTCTGATGGAGTTTCACCACCAGGCTGGAGTATAATGATGTGATCTTGTTTGGCTGCAACCTCCGCCTCCCGGGTGCAATCTAGTCTCCTGCCTCAGCCTCTTGAGTAGCTGGGATTACAGGTATCTCCCACCTTACCTGGCTAATTTTTTGTATTTTTAGTAAAGACAGGTTTTCACCATGTTGGTCAGGCTGGTCCCAAACTCCTGACCTCAGGTGCTCCACCTGCCTCGGCCTCCCAAAGTGCTGGGATTACAGGCATGAACGAGTGCATCTGGCCACATGTCTGTTTTCCTGTAGTTTGTGAGCCCCTGGGATGGGTATAAGGGCAGAAAATGCATCTCCCTGGTGCCATGCACTGGCTTCACTATATAGTAGGTGATTAATCGTTCACTGAAGAGATCAACTGAAATAAAGGGCATTTGTGTAAAAATATTCTCTTTGTTTTTGTTTTTTGAGATGGAGTCTCACTCTGTCACCCAGACTGGAGTGCAGTGGTGAACTCTCAGCTCACTGCAACCTCTGCCTCCCAGGTTCTAGCAATTCTCCTGCCTCAGCTGCCGAAGGAGCTAGGATTATAGGTGTGTGCCACCACGCTCAGCTAATTTTTGTATTATTATTATTATTTTTTTTAATAGAGATGGGTTTCACCATGTTGGCCAGGCTGGTCTTGAACTCCTGACTTACTTCAGGTGATCTATTCACCTCAGACTCCCAAAGTGCTGGGATTATAGGAGTGTACCACCATGCTTGGCCTATGTAAAAACATTCTGATCTAAGAGAAAAGGATGACTAATCTTGTGATTGATAACTTGAACTCAGATCTTTTTATAATTTAGATTAGAATTTTCATTGATCTGTGACATTCATTAACCACAACAATTTTAGGAAATCTTGTTAATTTTTATAAACTTTATTGGCTTTCAGGTTGTTGCCAAATTAATTAGACCATCAAGAAAAAAGAGCAGGTGTTATGGTAGTATGGGTCAAAAGTTTTTGCTCTTTCTGATTGTGATGTCTTCAGCCCATTCTGGGAGATGAGGTGGGAAGATGTGAGGAGCTCAACATCGTCATGGTCCAAGTGCGGACTGGAGAACTCTTGTAGAAAAATCTCACCTGAAGTCCTTGTCTTGGTGAGGCTAGGCCAGGCCATGAATGAGAACTAGGGACCACCCCATTCTCACTGTTGTCTTATATGCCCTCTGAATTAAACACACACTCTCCACCCAAGGAAAAGCAAAGGAAAGTGACAAAGGGCTCATGGATTTAATTCCAACTATAAACTACAGTGTTTCCTTCTCTTCTTCCCTATTGAGTCTTTCTACTGCCCAGTGGGTCTAAGAGTAGCCACTGGCTCAAAGGCATTCTAACAGCACTGCCCTAAAATCAACCCTTGAACCTCTCATAGAAAACAAGAAGTGATCACAGTATAATTTATATATGCCTTCTTCACAGAGACTCAAATTTTAAGCATTTACAAATAGAAATATTAGGAAATTTTTAAAATGAGATTGCTAAACAAAAATAGATGTCAAATAACAATGAAAGTAGGATATAATTGTGAAAAAGCATACCGCAGTACCCTGGGGTTCCACATACTGTCTTCATGAGCACTTGATGTTCCACAATTTTAGAGAGTCCAAAATCAGCTAACAACACAAGAAAAACATTTAATGAAGCACGTCTTTTCTCAGTTTATATTAGATGACAGAATATTTCTGTTATTCAAAAATAGAATTAACTTATTTATCTACTTGTTTGCTTTTCTATTTCATGGTGGGGTAGGTGGGTGGGAACAAGTTACCCAAGAAGAAGCTAAATAAATTAATTCAAGTGTTTCTTTAAATGGGAGAAAAATATGACTTCCAAATACATTTACAAATAAATCTGTATTTAATCTTTGTTCTTCTGTACATTCCCAACTTTCAGCAAATAAGCTATTTTTTCTTAAAGTAATAGTTGTAATATTTTGTCTAATGTTATTAATTCTGAAATTTATATAATAGTAACTCTAAGGGGCAATACAGAATCAGCGATATAATACAGAATCTTTAATTTATCAACAGAGTGGAGAAAAAACAGACTTTCATCAGTGTCATGAGAATTACAGAAATCTCAAAAGGTTTACTCGGCTTGAAAATAAATGTCAGACCCTAATGTATTTCATTTATAAGAATTTACTCTCACATGAAGACTATACGACTTTTTTGGTAAAAATCCTTTTTATTTATTTCTCAGAATATTACCTAGGTAAAATATTATCAAAAGTTGCTACCATTACAATTTGCTGAGCTACATCTCTGGCACTCGAGAAACATCAGGAAACCATTCAAGGCCATTCTCCAAGAGAGGCAGGTGCAGAATGAATTCCATTTTAGACTTCAAAGATAAACCCACATTTCCTGGCAGGTGCCTGATCCTTATCAGTGAAAGCAGCAGGAAGCCCTTCAGAAAGAAAACCTCTCCTGCCTAAATTAGTATCTATCCATCCATTTAAAGAAATTGCTTTAAGGATTAAATCTTTGAAAGCGATGTTAAAGAAAATGGAAACTGCCTGCTGTCCACTGCCTTACAGGAGTGGTTATGAGAACAAGCTGGCTACCCAACAGGACTTTCAGGATTTTTTCCTTAGGTTCCTGCATTCATAAAGCACATTATGTTGTCTGAGCTCTTCCCTGAGATGAACAACTTAGTTGTTAAAGGTGTTAACATCTGTAAATGCAGGGAACTTGGCAGATTAGCATGATAAGGACAGCACCAGAAGAGCAATACCCTTCAGAAGATTTCATGCAGATTGCACCAGCGAGAATTCATCGAAGATTAAGTTGAAAATATTTTTTGACATGAAGATTTGCTTTGGAAGAGACATGGAAAGTAACAATTATTATTATTTTTTTCTAAAGTGCTAAAGGTTTCTTTGGGTAGATCAGAATTTCCCAAAGTTCATCTTTGTAGTTTTTCAAAATGTGTATTCGTTTAAAAAAAAAAAAAAACTTATAGAATATGACATGTCAGTTTACATGTTAACAGTTTTAAAGTTCTGGAACTGGAAAGTCCTATAGAAATAAAAATCTTGTTTAACTTTTTAAAAGTTGGCATTTCCTAACTTATTTGCTCAGTCATAGCATTTCTGTGTATTGCTCCCACCCTTATTCATGCTGCTGAGAATCCAGTGTTCTTTGGAGTGCATTTTGGGAAAAGCAGATCTTAATTTATCTTTGTTCATATAAACAAGTGATTCAAAGCCTAGCTTCACTAATATGCACTAAACATTTTACGTCAAAGTTCTTTGTTACCTAAAATTAAGCTCCAAGCAATCTGTGGAATAAAAATTAATATCTCCAGAAAAGGTTACGTTTTCTATCATTTTGTTCACTATAAACATATTTACAAAATGCTAGGTCATCTCCTGAGGTCCTTGTCATTTCTAAGCTGATTCCTTTTTGTGCCCAGCAACAGAACACTAACTTCTAGGCAATCATTTTCAGATAAACATTCTAGGAAAGAGCACAAACTTTCCACACAACACATTATTCCTTTACAGGTACCAAATATTCAGGAAAACTGAATGGTTGTAAAACTACATAGAGCAATATTTTAAAATTCCACACAGTAACATTTTTCTGCTCTGGGAAAAGGGCTTTACAAAACACGAAGAAATGTTCTCACCAATTTTGAGTGGAGCATCTGGGGCTGGAGTTGCATAGAGAAGATTCTCTGGTTTGAGATCACGATGGACAATTCCATTTTCATGTAGATACTAAAGAGGGAAAATAATGAAACAGCATTTGTGTAATTCTATTTATGGTTCGAACGTCTATACTTAATATTTTAAGAACTGTAAGTTATGTGATTCAAGAACACACATATGACTTAAAAATAAATACCATAGCCAGGCACGGTGGCTCACACCTGTAATCCCAGCACTTAGGGAGGCCTAGGCAGGTGGATCACGAGGTCAGGAGGTCGAGACCAGCCTGATCAACATGGTGAAACACTGTCTCTACTAAAAATACAAAAATTAGCCGGGTGTGGTGGCGTGTGCCTGTAATCCAAGTTACTTGGGAGGCTGAGGCAGGAGAATAGCTTGAATCAGGAGGCGGAGACTGCAGTAAGCTGAGACTGCACCACTGCAAGATCTCATCTCAAATAAATAAATAAATAACATAGAGGAAAATCTATTTTAAACTGTATACATTAAATAATGCCTTATAAATAGTTACCTAAATGTGATGCAATTTAAATTGTATAGAATCTTTTCCCAGAATGAAATATTTATTCCTCAGCTAATATTAGTTACAGTTTTCTTTATGCATATTAGTGTGTCAACTGGAATTGGCTAATTATTGTAACAAAGTCAAGGTGCTGTGTATTGAAATTTATCTGGCTTATTACCTATAAAGCATGATTGGATGTATGATCTTATAAACTCATATAGCAAAGGTTTCATAATTATTGCCCGAACAGACATTTAGATGTGAGTAGTTCTTATAGACAACTATCCTTAATAAGACAAATACTGTTTGATAATGAAGGATGTACTCACAGGCTCTTCTGAGAATTTGTAAATCTAACTTTCAGTACAGATGTTGACAGTTGTATTTGAGATGAATTTTCAAGATCACATCTAGCAACTCCATTCATTATATTGTACTTTAAATTATTTTGTAAAATTATGTGTAAACAATATATTCTCATTGTAAATGCTCAAGTCCCACCTGACTTCCTTTCCCCCAGTTCCAGTCCCCTCTTCAAAAGTAATCACTCATCAGTTTGAAACGTTTTTTCCCCAAAAGTTTGTTTGAACATTTTTCTATGCATTTACAAACAAGTATATGTACACTGGGCTAGATTCACTAATGCATAGAAAAAGCATTCTATGCTTTTATTAGTGAATCTAGGCTTGGAGTCACTTGTTTATATGAACAGATTTCTTTACAGATGTTAAATACTCAGGACATCTGTATTTGTATTACATTAGTTCATGCCTGTAATACCAGCACTTTGGTAGGCTGAGGGGGAAGAATTATTTGAGTCCAGGAGTTAGAGACCAGTCTGGGCAACATATCAAGAACCCACCTCTATGAAAAATTTTAAAAAGCCAGCAATGTTGGTGCATGCCTTGTAGTTCTAGTTACTCTGGAGGTTGAGGTGGGAGGTAACTTGAGCCCAGGAGGTCAAGGCTTCAGTGAACCATGATCAAGCCACTGCACCCCAGCCTGGGTGACAGAGCAAGATCTTGTCTCATAGGAAAATAAAAACAAAAAACCAAACCAAACAAAAGAATAAACACACACACACACACACACACACACACACACACACACACACACACGGTAATATCCCTGTTTCCTCCATTTTCCTACTTAAATATATCATAATATAATTTTTATGTGGCTTTTTTTTCTGCTTAACAAAATATCTTTGAAGACTTACCCTCATATCACTTTAGTGTATTCTATTTAATTCTTGCATCTTGCATTATAATTAATTTACTTATTCATTTTTAATTGACATTCAAGTTGTTTTCAATTTTGAAGAAGTTACAAGTAATACAATATAAACATTCTAGCACTTGAATATTTGAGTGTTTCTGTTGTATTTGAGTATTTTTCTAGGACAGATACCTGGAAGCAGGTCCAGTTGTGAAGCCAAAAGACATACAGTGTTTTTATTTTAATACATATTTCAAAATCACTCTCCCAAAAGCCTCCATCAATTTTTACTCACACAAATAATGTACGCATATATGTTAATATCTTTGCTAAATCTATATTTTTAACTTTTGCTGAGCTGGAGTGCAAAGATAGTATCTTAAGTTTGGTTTAATTTATCTTTCTCTGTTTACTAGTATAGTTGAGCTTCTCTTCATATGCTTCTTGGTAAATCAGTTTTCCTCTTCCATGAATTTCCTATTCATAACATTTGCCATGTTTCTGTCGATTTAAGAGAAAGTTTCCAATGTGCTGTTCTCTCTCCTTTCCTACCTCATGCCAGAAGGCAAGGAGTTCTTTATACTTAAGTCAAGTAAGGGGGGTTGCGGAGGTACAGCTTCAAGATCACTTAGTGGTTTGGGGAAACAGATAACTGGCTCATGTATGAAAACGGAAAGAAGAGAAGACAGTTGGAGCAGGTGAATGTGGAGAGGGCCTCAGGAAGATTCAGCTACTCTCAAATAATAGCTGGATGTACATTTCTCATGGGCCCAGTGTGGACTCTACAAGAAGGAATTAGACACGAGTCTCCATGAAGAGACTCTTCATGAAAGTGTTTCCTGTCAGTGGCTGCCACCTTAGCATCACAAAAAGCAGAGCATGAGGGTAGTGACAGAGGCATCTGAGGCTCTTACGTGTTTTAAACACTTACTATATTCTAAGCTCTATTTTTAATACCTTATACCTGTTGACTCATTTAATCTTCACAACAGTTCCATCCAGTAAGTCATCTAATATTTGTTTCTAAATGAGGAAACTGAGGCAACAAGAGGCTAAGAAATCTGTACAGTATCACAACTAGATACTAGAGTTGTGATTCAGACTCAGATATTTGGCTGTAGAGCACATATCCCTGCCTATTATGTAATTCCCAAGGAGATGCTCAATGAACATTTGTTACTTGACTGATCAGGGGAAGGGGACAAAATAAAAATAACAACAAAGGAAAAGAGGGGAGGATACTGGAAAAGAAAGGTAATGAAAGTGTGAAGAGAAACAAGAGAATGATAGAGGACCATGCTCCACTATGAATGATACCTAGGGAAAACATGCACATCCCCAAGAAGGAAGAGACTATCTTGATGTAAGCTGAGTTTGAAGGGGGAGATAGATAGAATATCTCATACAGTAGCCTTGGAACATATCTAAGAATTGCATAGTTTGAGAACAATACAACATACTGATTTTTTCCCCCAATCTTACCCAATTTAGAAACTTTATTGCATTGAGAAGAAAGAGAAGCTAGACATAGGAACACAGTAACAATGACAAATAAAATGATTTGGTAAGTTTTGTTTAGCAAAGAACTAATTACATGAAGATCCTCACTAAATGTTGTTCTGGCTGTCTTGAAAAGAAAAGGTGGTTGTTCCGTTCTAAGTACAAGTTAAACAACAACAACAAAAAACAACAAAAAAGAAAACATCATTTGACACTCCATAAAGGAGAACTAGACTGGATAAAAGAACGAAAGTTTGGAGAATAGTACTAGAACAAGGCACTATGCACTACCAAAGGAACAAGCTTTAAAACAAAACTTTCATAAATTGTACTCGTCAGTGTATTAAAGTGAAACTGATGTGTTGACTTAAAAGTCAAGTGGCTAAAGATGCAGTGATGCACGTAGCTATAATAGCACACTAGTGAGAAGTGGGCAAGTTCAAAGGCCTCTCTTAATAAATGAAGGCATCCTGTTTGACTCCAGTGGTGGGAATGAAGATGGCCAAGACTGCTGCTGGCCTGCAGCTGAGGTTTATGTGTGTGCTTTGTTGCTTTAGGATTGGGGTATGGGCCAGAAATATCAGAATGAAGCAAAGTTTCATTGTAAAACACTTTCTGGGATAGCAATATCACAGGGGAAAAGAACAGGATGCTGGTAGAGAGGGTAATGATGAAAACCTCTGGGTAGGGAATCCTGTGGTGTCAGATTATAGTAGTAGACAAGAGAAGAGGTCACAACGAACACACTGACTGTGGCGTGAGTCTCCTCAAAATTCTATGTCAGACTGGAGAAACAAATACTTTCATTGGATGGGAAATTTATTTCCTGTCTATTTATACATATGCATGCCATAAAACTATATTAAGTACATATTTCTAGAATGGATGATACGGCACTGGCAGAAAATGTTATTTTGCCTACATTACTTTTCTTAGATTCAATTCAAAACCTAAAATACTTACTCAATTAAGATTTTAATGAAACACTTATCTTTGATTTCAGTAGCAATCCTTATTAGGTGAATTAGTAGCAATCCTTATTAGGTGAATAAAATAATAAAGATTAGCAATCTTTATTATTTTAAATTAGACACTATGCAAAAACTTAATAGAAAAAGCTAGGTGTCTGGATTTAAACATACAAATTTCATGCTGACAGGATAAAAGTATATTTTAAAAGAGCAATTTACATTCAATCAACAAATAAATCAGCATGTAGAATTTATTTGTATACAAGATTAGAACAAGTATGTGTTGTGAAGCAACTGAGAAGATGTTGAGATTGTTTAAGAGGACAAACATGATTACTTCATTCCCTAATTTCTACTGTATGACCAGGTTTCAAAGAAGGTGAGATTTTAGGAATGGAAGCTATGGGAAGGTTTGGCTAATTACATAAAGGTAGGTATTCAGGAAAAACTTCAAAGCTTGGAAAAAGGTTCAAAAATTATCTATATTTACAGAGAAAGAAGCAACAACCACATTTTTTGTAATAGGAAAGAAGATATTATATTGGCGCACAGAAGTAACACGGAGAGCTCCCGTCTGCACACTCTAGCCAAGCAGAATCTAGGGACCTTGACTTTGGCTTTACAGAGAAGCTGAACTGTTTGGATTGTCCAGAGAAGCTGATTGGGCAGGACTGAGGATGAATGAAGAAATTACTCCATCCTCAGGCAGAGGTGAGCTCTTTCACCAGGATGAGAAAGCTGAAAATAGCATTATGAAAAATGGCTGTGCTTTAGATGACAGTGTACAGTTTATATATTAAAACATAAGAGTAGATATTTGGAATGTACTGGAAAAAGAAGAATTTTGGGATGCA